GTAGACTAGAACTAGAGAGAGCAAAGTGTGATGGGGGTCACAGCTGTACTTTCAGGATCTTTCTACAATCTGTGTGTGTGTGTGTGTGTGTGTGTGTGTGTGTGTGTGTGTGTGCATGCACGCATGCACAAACAAGCATGTATGCACCAGAAACTGAATCTACATCTATTCCAGAACCTGAAGGATTTGTTTACTTGTCACTTTCTCAGAAGTTCAAGGTATGGCTTTATGTTAAGCTCTGAAACTTTCCTACAAATACATCAGAAAAAAAATTTGATGGAAAAAGATTATGTTATTTAGAAGTTTTGAAATCTGTGTGATTCCATTAAAAAAGACACTAGGCTGCTTCTTCTTTTTCTTTTTTGCAGTTCCACCAGGAACAGCAAGCGTTTCCCCCATGGTCTTGGGAGACATTTGAAAATTCCAAACACCAAACCATCACAGCATCTGTGGAGGACATTTTCACAAGTTCATCCTGTACTTAAAACACGTTGAAACTCACTTAGCCAAGCTTCCTTCTCAGTTCAATATCTTGGCAATAGGTCAAGAGAAATGTCAACATGTCCACTGGAAAAAAGGAAGATGCCAGGTCATGCTCCCAAGACCTGGCCAAACAACCCGAGGAAGAGGAGGTCAAAACTCAGAGCAATTCCTATCCACTCAAGAGTTCTTCCTAAGGATAAATCAAAAGAAGGCTGCTACTTCCCAGCACAACCTTCTCAACTCTTTTAAGAGAAACTCCTAAATGGAAAACAGTTCAGGACTGCGGTCCTTTTACTACACAAGGACATGTTGTTATGGAGACAGCTCTGCAGGACCCCTTGGCAACCCCAGTGTATAATTAAGTCTGGTGGTCACGGAACAGCCAGAGGTGGTCTCCATGGAGACCAACAAACACACATTTTCACAGGCACAGCAACTGCTCTGAATCAATGACTCTTTATATAAGCAGAAAAACATTGTGAATGGTACATCAATTGCATCTTTTGTTAGGCAGTGTCTCATGAAATACACTGTGAGAGGGTTTATTCTCCTGAGCTTAGATCTCTGAGCAGAGTCTGGAGCACACAGTTCCCAACTCAATTCACAATCTAGAACCAGCAAATACAAATGGAAAATACAGACTCAGGAAATCACTGGTTAATCTGGTGGAAGAATTAAACCAGGGGTCGACGGGGCCAAGGAGGGCCTGTCAGCTGCCCGACGCTCACTATTCCAGGGCTGTCTAAATATTATTCAACCCTCTCTGAAAGTAGACATTATTATATTTGTTTACAAATGAGAAAACAAAGTGCACACCTAGAAAGTATGGCCAAGTTAGGACTCAGACCCAGTTCATAAATTCAATCTTGGTCAGGGTTTAAGTGATTCAACACCATACTGTGTTTGCATAGCACTCTGTGGTTTATCCTTACATACATTATCTCACAGGGGCTTCTCAGGTGGTACTAGTGGTAAATAACCTGCCTTCCAATGCAGGAGATGCTGGAGACACAGGTTTGATCCCAGCGTTGGGAAGATCCCCTGGAGGAGAACATGGCAACCCACTCCAGTATTCTTGCCTGAAGAATCCCATGGACAGAGGAGCCTGCTGGGCTACAAATCCATGGGGTCACAAACAGCTGGACATGACTGAGCATGTATGCAACAACAACAAAAAACAATAACAAAGACTCTAAATAAGAACACAGATGAACATTCTGGTATAATCTTTATACATATCTTATGGCCTTTATACATAATGTATGTATGGCCTTTATACATAATCTTCCCCAGGAGAAGATGGAATTTGATAATAGAGATGAAAGAAAGTCCGATGGCTACGTGGTTTTCTACTTTATTCTGATCAGTTCTATGAAAGACTTTTAAAATCTGGCACACGTTTTACTAAGTAGGCACTGACCATCAATGATATGGTTCCCAGCAGATCTTCATAATAGATAATCCTACAATTGGATATAGATGCCATCAGCATTTAGTCCCAAGTATGAGACATTCCCTGTCAGAATCATGTTTTTTAATTATCTCTCTATCTTCTGGTCCAGAGAGATCCCTTGCTTTATGGACAAAAAAACTGAGGACTAAAGGGGTTCAATGCATCGTGATCAAAGTCAGTCTCTCCTCCCCTGAACTCCCGGGAATCCCAGTTTCTCTGCCACATGACTCAGAACAGCCTGTTTACCTTCCCATGGGTGCATGTGTGCTCAGCCATGTCTGACTCTTTGCAACCCCATGGACTGTAGCCCACCAGGTTCCTCTGTCCATGGGATTTCCCAGACAAGAATACTGGTTTGATTTCTCATTTCCTCCTACAGGGATCTTCCCAACCCAGGGATTGATCCTGCATCTACAGCATCTCCTGCACTGGCAGGCAGATTCTTTACCACTGAGCTACTTGGGAAGCCCTTTACCTTCAAGTAAAGCCCAGGGAAAAGGTTTTACATTTCCCCCTACACACACACTCCTTCCACTTCCCTTTGCAACTTATTTTCCAAATTTTCTCCTCATTCTCTAGCATCATGAAATCTCTGTATCAGGGTGTCTCCTTTTCTACTTTCAAGCTCACCCAAGTCCCTCTTTTCCTACAAAAGAAGTTATCTTCATTAACTCTGCCCACCACCAGTCACAATCTTCTCTCCACATCTTAGGTATTGTTGAGTGTTTATGATCCCCCCTGCCCACTCCCACTCCTGCCCTTTTCCTTAAACCGTTTCCTCAAAGCTTAGCAAAATGCCTGCTCTAGACTCTCAGTGTGATCACTTTGACCTTTGGGTAGCATTCTGCTTTACTCCTTACAATTCTCCTTTAACTTCCCTGCTCTGAACTTCTCTGATTCCCTCTACCTTCCAGCTATGACTTTGCTTTCCTGCTCATTATTGGCCCCTGGCATCTAAGTTTCTCCCAGGCTAAGTCCTAAGATTCTGCTCTGCTCCCCCCAAATCCTTTCACTTTCTTAGTGAGCTCCTTGATGGATAGGTTTTCTTGATTTCAACTGCATCTTTCTACAGGCGAAGCCCAAATGGACAAATCCCTGAACACTCACCTACATTTCACCCCATGTTTCCAACACAAAAGAGCTCCATGCAGATGTTTTATCACTATACACATCTGTCTAAAATGTATATCACCAGCTTTCTCCTAAAGGATGTTCTTTCATAATCACCCCCATTTCTGTTTGTTAAGGCCACAGATCTCATTTGTCTCTAGCAAAAACCTTGGAGTCACTTGTCACCGTCCATATTCATCACTGGGCTTCTCCGGTGGCTCAGTGGCAAAGAATCCACCAGTCAATGCAGGAGATGCAGGTCCTATCCCTGGGTTCGGAAGATCCCCTAGAGAAGGAAATGGCACCCCTCTCTAGTATTCTCATCTGGGAAGTCCCATGGACATAGGAGCCTGGTGGGCTACAGTCAATGGGATCACAAACAGTTGGACACGACTTAGCGACTATACAATAACAAATAATATTCATCATTCCTTTGTCCAAACTATCCCCAAAATCTGTTCTAAAATGATCTGAGTCTTTGTTAGCTAATTTTATCACATCACGTAGCAGCTAGAGGACAAATTGTGTAATTAAAATTTATTTTCCTTCTAATTATAAGTCAGGCTTCCCAGGTGGCTGAGTGGTAAAGAATCCATCTGACAATGCAGGAGATGAAGGACACTCAGGTTCCATCCCTGGATCGAGATCAAATTGTAAGTCAAGTTTGACCTTTCACCTTTCTTCCTGCCATCTCTACCTTGATTCACCTCTCTTCTAAATGCTTGGAAGTCATTTCCAGTCTGTCTTAAGCACTGTCACCTTATTAATCTGCTTAAAACATTACCCTCAGGGGACCTCCCTGGTGGCCTAGGATTCCAGGGTTTCACTGCCAGGACTCAGGCTCAATCCCTGGTCAGGAAACTTGAGATCCCACAAGCCATAAGGTACAGGAAAAAAGAAAAAAATTACCCATGGTCAGTCTCTTTCAAAAGTTCACAATGCTCTCTATGGCTTGGCTTTTAGGGACTCCTATAATCTGACTCTTCTGTGCCCAATTTTCTCCTACTCCCCCGAAGTTCCTCCCAATCTAGTTAAATGTATTTCTTCCCATACATGCACACCAATGTTCAGTTCAGTGTTCAGTCGTATCCAACTCTTTGCAACCCCATGAACCACAGCACGCCAGGCTTCCCTATCCATCACCAACTGCCAGAGTCTACCCAAACCCATGTCCATTGACTTGGTGATGCCACCCAACCATCTCATCCTTGTCGTCCCCTTCTCCTCCTGCCCTCAATCTTTCCCAGCATCAGGGTCTTCTCAAATGAGTCACTGAAGCACTATTTACAATAAACAAGACATGGAAGCAACCTAAATGTCCACAGACAGAGGATGGATAAAGATGAGATACATGTAAACAACAGAATAGTACACAGCCATAAAAAAGGGAAATAATGCCATTTGCAGCAACATGGACAGACCTAGAGACTGTCATACTAAGTGATATAAGTGATATAAGTCAGATGGAGAAAGACAAATATTATATGATATCACCTGTATGTGTAATCTAAAAAATAATACAGATGAATCTATATTTCCCAGTGGTCATGTATGGATGTGAGAGTTGGACTCTAAAGAAAGCTGAGCGCCAAAGAATTGATGCTTTTGAACCGCGGTTTCGGA